GCTCCTTTTCGCCTGAGTTGCATTATAACTCCTCAAGGAGAGCATGGCTTACATGGCTGGTACCAGAGAGAGAAAATACTACTAGTTCCCCAAGATAATATTGCTTTGTCTGTCGTTTTGACAATTATATCCGTAGAATCTGCTGGTCAGGTTTCTGTGGTAGAATTTATTGCTGCTGCTACAGCTCATAAGCATCTCGTTAAAATCTTACGAGCATTCGGATCTCATTTTCAAGCTACAATTCGTCTTATCAGTCAGAGATACGATCAGTTTCCTCTTGTAGACGATTTCTCGCAGTTAGTTCGTGCAAACTGCTGCTCAGCACTCATCTATCTACAGTTGTACGGCACAAAGTTCAGTGAGGAGGAGAGGAGGAAGCTTGAAATTCAAAATAACATCTCGACGCTAGTTCCGGATGGAATCATTTTGCGTGGTCAACGGCTAAACTTCACTGCTGATCAATTACAGGCGATTAGACTAGGATGTAGTGATAATCCCTCTGTAGTTATTCATTCGGCTTATGGTTCCGGTAAAACCGTTGTGGCTGCGGCCATTGCAGCATTTGCCGCCAGTATTACTCCTGATAAAACAGTTCTACTCGTATCTCAGACGAACGCTGCAGTTGGCCAGATGGCCAAAGTTCTTGGACAGTTTGACTTTTATAAGCATTTACATCCCTTGCGCGTGGAAGCCGACAGCATCACCTCGTACACCAAGATTCTCTTCAGTCGAACAGAGGAAACCAGCATTGACTTGCCTCAAATCCTACAAAATTTTGAGAACTGGTATCAGCTTAGTCCAGATGAAATACATGACATTCGCCGCTTCAACCTTAAGTACCGTCGTCTTGTAGAGTTCGTTCAGAAACACGAAAACTGCTGTCCATGGGGGATGTGGGAGAAAGGCGACGTTCTAACGAATGCTCAAGTCAAAGAAGCTTTAGCTTTTCAACAGTTTGTGGAAAGTTTGATTTCCGAATTCCACAGAGCTATGTCTATCGTTCTAACTTATCATAGACCACGTATCATATGTATCACAGTGGATAAATTGGTCAATGAACTGCTAGTTTCAGAGTACGTAGACACCACAAGAGTTCATTGCTCTCTTCGCGATTTTCTACAGAAGGCAGATATGATTATCGTCGACGAGGCTTCGCAACTCCCTGAATTTTCTCTTCTACGTCTCCTGGCAGTTCTTCCAAACACCCGATTCCGCTTCATCGGTGACAGCAAACAGTTGGCTCCTCATGCGGTGCTACCACTGGACCATCCCTTTGTCGTGGCTGGAGCACGCTCTACCCTTCAACTGTTTTCTGATTCCGCTCAAAGAGGCTTGTCTATCGCTAGTGAATTAACGACAACCTTCCGGAGCCATCCCAATATGAATAAGTTGCCGAATAAGCTGTTTTACAATGGGAAGCTCAAGAGTGGATCTACTCATCAACAACGGAGTCAAATGCTGGACTGTTTGAACTTCCCTAATAAGAAGACTCCCTTAGCATTCATCGATGTCACAGGGGAGCATTATAAAAACAAAAATGGATCATTGGGAAATCAGCAAGAAGCTGATGCGTGTTTGAAGCTAGTGAAATCCCTTATTAGGGATAAGAATATCAATAGCCACAGAATATCTGTGGTGACATTCTATTTGGAACAACGTGAACATCTGACCACGATGTTCAAACATAATAACATACATGTGCACATCAATACAGTTGACTCCATCCAAGGATCTGAATACGACATCGTCATTGTTCTCACAACTAAGACAAAATTCACAAAATATGAAGAATTCTTCACCGATCCACGTCGTATTAATGTCGCCATAACTAGAGCTAAATTGGCTCAATTCATTCTAGGCCAGAAGACTTCTTTGCTCAAAGTGAATGTATGGAAAGATTTGGTTTCGTGGTTCAGGGACAACCAAGCCATCATCAGATCGCAAGATTTGAAGACTATATTTGGGCCGGGCAGAAATTTCGTTGATAATAATTTGAATAAGTTGGTCAGTCTGACCATCTCCGATTAGTTTTTTTTTCTGTTTTTTTCTCTATTTGATTGTCTCGTTGAAGTTATGTATTATATTGTGTTTTGTTTTACTTGTTTCGTTCCACCAAATTATCTTTCATCCACTTCAATTCAGAAGGCCCCCAAATAAAACGGTTTGTACAGAGAGAGTTGAGCACTTCGCTCATGTTTCATGTTCTTCAATCGCAAGGTTACATTCTATGTTCCTTCATACATACCTATACACACATCATAATCTAATTGAATCATCATATTCAACAAAACTAATCAAAATATGAATTAACAATGCATTTATGAACATCAGGTTTACGGTAGAATTCGGTACGCAATTAGGCGTGTACGTATTTTGCAGGCTTTTGGTTCTGCTTTTTATATCCAATCAAAACCTTGATTGCATAGATTTGCATTGTTTATTCCGTTCTTTAGACTCATTTTCACTTATGGTGAGAATACATTGTTATGAGTGATCGTCATATGCCAAGTATTTTCAGTGAGTGTGACAAATTGAAACAGGTTCGTCAGCTTGCTCTCACAGCTTGCACATCATTGACCTTATTAAGATTTACGACAAGTGCTTCACTGAATTTTTCCAAAAGTTCATTTCTCCCAACTATCGCCATCAATACGCCGTCAATCCTTGTGATAGACTTCAGCAGGTTTATCGTGACTGTGTGGAAGAGGTTTGAAAAGTTGTTTTAACGAGATAAGTTTTCTTGTGTCAGCGACTAGAAGCCAAACGTCCATTCGATATCGACATAAACGAAATAAGGAAGGAATATTTGAACAGCGACGAAGACAAGTTTAATACTGCTTAAGGTAATTGTTCTTGCGTTTCCATTCATCAAGACTTAATTGCAGATGGATCCTTCTAACTTCCCTGCTCCTCAACTTGGTGAAGCTGCCGAAGCTCGGTTTAGTCATCTTGAAAGAACCTTGGAAGCTTTTCAAGTTTGTCATCATCTATCGATCTGTCATTCTAATTCACCGTTCAGGAGAATGCTCGTCATATGGGAGTCATTGCTTCAGACTTCTCCTCTAAAAGCCAAGATGTTTTCAATCAGAAGATTCATACTCTGACTTCTGGTCTTCTCGTGAGTTAATCGAAAGAAGAAGCCATGTTTACGATTTGTTTCAGGAGCTGGATCAGCTCAAGACTCAATATACTGATGTCAAAATTCCTTTGGAATTATTAGAAGTTTTAGACGACGGCAAAAATCCTCATATATATACCCGTGATCTTCTTGAACGTACTTTACAGAAAAATAAGGAGGTTAGTTAGTCTGCAGTTAGAACCATTGGCAACCTTCCCCACTTGCAGGTTAATGGCAAAATTGAAATTTATAAGAAGTTCCGAGCTCACTTACTGAAACGGTTCGCCGAGGAAATGCCTGAAGATGCTGCTAAATACCTTAATATTCGTGCTATGGACGACTCTTAAACGTTGTTATTTTCTTGTTAATCTTAAGAATTGCCGTGTTGTATTGACATCGTCGTTGTATAATTTGATCAAAGTCTGTTGATTTTCATTTTTCACAGATTTCTATAAGAGGGTCTATCCATCTTGTATTATCTCATCAGATTATTTCGATCTCATCCTACATGTCTGTTTTAGATGTCCATCGGGGCTAATATGGTTATGAGGCCGCAAAATGCGGCTTCTGCCTCGCTCATCAAATTCGTTCCACATTTCTTAGCCTTGCGATTAAGTTGGACTCAAAACTCTCTCAAAAGTGAAGGTCTTGAGCAATTTGTAGAAGAGCATTTACCTGTAATTAGGTGAGCAAAAATTTCTAACAAACCTCACATCTGCATGAGTTTACGTGGAATTCCACGTAAAATTTTACGTGAACTTTCACGTAAACGTGTTTCTCCCCGAGCTCTCATTTTCATTTCACGGTAGTGTCATGCGGCTGTGCGCTCGTATTAATCTCATTTTCATAATTATATAAATAAATTTTTCAATAACACAAATGGAATTTTAACCCTCTAACCTTCAAACTCCATCATCTTCTTCCCGAGCATTGAACGAGTGAGCATTTTTAGAGAAAACAATCCACAAGTTAAATATTTTCTTCAAAGGACGTACACGGAATGCGATCCTTTCGTTGTGGGAGAGTAAGTTCAACTCTTTCATTACTGTGTAATTCCCATTTGAATAGATACGCCTGGTTGAGACATCGCAAGAAACGAGTGTCATGGAAAACACAACATCAAGTACTATCCATGATTGAAGAAATGGCCATCGGTGGAGATTATCGTCCTGGTTTGTTAACAACGGAAGAATAGAATTCATTGCAAAGAAGTGTAGGGTTAAAACGTGGAGTAAATAGAAGATTACCTCGTGGTCAAGAAATTTGGGACACAGAAACCATGGGACATGATGTCTATCAGGTATTTCTGTATCACTTTCGGTTTTCCACTTACACTTTCTTCGCTTACAGGTGTATAGCAAATGGAAAGGAGATGAGCCCGATAGTAATGCTCCAAACTGGAAAACCCATCCTAATATTACTTTTAGAAAGAGTTAAGAGTGTCGTTGTAGTCATAGTAGGTCTTCTTGTTGTTTCTTATTGTTTTTAATAAACTGCTCACAGACGTTTAAAAGTGTCTCAAGTGATGAAGTTTTGATTAATTATTATGTTGTCAACACCTTCCCAGGGTTACAGTTAATATCGGAATCTTGACACAAAGAAATAGTTGGGCATGTTACTTGCTCGCTTAACTAGCTGTGGACAGCATACGACCTAGTTCTCGTCACCTCGATTTCCATATGATGATGTTATTGTCTTTTTCGCTGATTGGAAGAAACATTTGAACTTTTGCATTGAAGGAATAGATAAGTCATACGGTCTTTGTGTGTTCCATCAGTTGCCATATTGTAAAGCACATTACGAGAAACTTGTTCTCATTTGGCTTTGACTTGTGTCACTGCCAATTTTATTTCTTCAATCTCCTATCACGTACGGCTTCAAGATGACGTTAAGGTCGTCGTGCTTTATTATTTTGTTTTTTTTTAGTTTCAGTACAGGTCAGTTCATTTCGTATGAGATGCTCTATTTTGTATTTGCTCGCTTTCTTCAGGCGCTGTTATTGAACAAAGAAACTTTTTGACACGAGAAGCTTGTTTGAAGAATCCTAAGCTCGTATTCTGTAGTGAAAGTGCTAGCCCTTCCCCGCAAAGTGCAGACAATTCACCGAGCTCCACCACAGTCAAAGAAGCTCCGTCAGACACTGATGATGCCCCTAGGAAGGCAGATGCAGTCATAGACAACGGAGCTGCGACTGCTCATAACACAAGGAATGGCAAAAGACATTTGGATTGTATGAAATAGCATCATTGAAACTTCCTAATTAAGTTTTGTTTAAGTGGTTGTCCCTCCTCCATTACCTCAAGGAGTCAAAACGAAAGCAATGCTGGCTGATAAAGACAATGCTGACGAATTTGTGTCGAGAGATGTGAAGCCTACAGCAACAAATGAAGTCTGATTTTCACTTTCTTCTGTTTCAAGATCGTTTTGTAATATACAGGAGAAGCAAGAAGCATTAATGAAGTTTGAACAGCTGCGCCAAAAATGTGTCAAATTCGGCCCTCTGGTGAAAGAAGTAAATTGAATCTTCTTTGAGCAACAACTATTACTTTTCTAATTTCAGAACTGCAAAGAGAAAGATACACCCAAAGAGCATGTGGGCCGTTGTGCGGCTTATTTCAGAGATTGCTCTCGTTTTATGGCCAAATCAAATCCGTTATATGATGTGGCACATTCATTTTCATCTGGAGTGAGTTGCTCACTTCGATTTGAAACTTTTCATTAAATTAACGCGATTGCAATTGAAATTTTAGGTTAATGTAAACTTGGCTACGGTAGAAGTAAATGGAATTCCTTATTATCCTATTAATGAAGAAGGAGGTGTAGGAGTATCTCATACATTAGGCATACCATTCGGTTCCTGGGGAGGTGGCTTCTCACAAGGCGTCGGTGTAAGGTAACGGTCACGACTATTTCCTATTCAGTATATATATATTTCTCAAAAAAGGGACAATAGCAATACTGAAGTCACTGTTTGAATTACTTTTTCATTTGCTTGTTTACTGCAGGAATTTCTTAAACACAATTTATCACAACCAATTTATCATATCTTTTATAGAGATTATTGGTCGTCTAATCAAGAAGTTGGTGCTAATTGGTACGACGGCAAATATGGATACAAAAACGGTATGAAAACAATACGGAATATGCATGTTTAAACTTACCGAGATGCAACCGTTCTACGCGCGCAAATTGTTCAAAATGACTTTTGTCACGTGTAATCTCGAAATTAGCATAAATCGCTGCTGCTGGCATAATAGAATCGTACGCAAAGTTCAAAATATTGTTTGTAGGCTGGTCCGTCCCTCTTGTTCAATCATTGGGCGTTGAAGGGGGTCAACACAATGTTGTTTCCGTTCCGTTGCATGGAAAAGATTTTGGACGAATTGGTGTGGACAATGGCTATCACGTATGTTAAAAGTCTATATATGGCAATTATGACATTGATCCCATCAACAACTAATCGATAATATTAAAATATGATCACTGCCTGTTCCCCTCTCCCTTTCTTTCTCTCCAATCCTTTCATCAGCTTGTTCTCTCCTGCTGACATTCTCTACTCATGCATTCACTTGAAAACTGTTTGATTGTCGCTCATCACTTACAATGTGAAGAAAAACGAGAGAAAACATTGACTTTTCAGGTTGGCGGCTATTATGGCCATAACGATCATGTGGGGGTAGACTGGAAAAAAGGCAATGTTGCTCATACATTTGGTGTTGGTGCACCAATAGCTGGAGCCGGCTTCATGACTGGACAAGCTGTAGCATTCCCCGGTTTAGATACATGGGCGAATGCTTTAGGAAAAAAATAAATAAATAATATGTACAGTTCTTATCTATTTTTTGTTTTATTCTTGTTTTTTGTTGTATAAAGCGGTGTGAATATAAAGATCTTTACTTTCGTTCCCATAAGTTCTTCCGTTAAGTCTATGAAGTTCCGCTTCTGATTCTGTTTTCGTCAGACGCTTTGAAGTACCTGAACGTTTCAGATAGTTTACCTCTCCACACTCTCTTTTACTCTCTCTCTCTCTCTTTTTCTCTCTATCCTCTCCGTCATCACCTCCAGTCTCTTCCAATGTTAGTATTACTCACTCTTTTTTTACTTTTCAACTATTGCAAACTACTTAGCGTGCTATGCTCAAAATTAACGAAGCAACCAGAATTCCCAATGGCAATTCCGGACAACTCTATAGGCGCTGGTCAACGTCTAGCCTTTGGTCTGACGGACACAGAGTATCAGTCTGATTTTCACATGGCACTATGGACCATATTTAGACTTCTTTATGCATAGTAAACGAGCGTGTAAAGTCTGTGATTCATAGAACGGGTTCGCTTCAGCTTAGACTCGCCCATTGATATGAGAAGTAGAAGTGGGAGGAGACGATAAAAGCGCGTGTGATATTTCCATTTTAGTAGTTTTTTTAGCGAGCAAGGAGAGGAAGTGATACATCGGGTGATAGCTGATGAATACATTTCTTCCATTTTTCTATTTATATGTGTGTGCGTGTTTCTTGTGGGTTTAATGTCAAAGTCTTCGACACCGCCTGGTTTGCTTCTCTCCCTTGTTTTTCAGTGGTGCATCGATGCGACGTGGGGCGATTATTGATTTCGTACCGAGAACTAGCACACAGACAGGGAGGGTAGAGAGGAGGAGGAGTTGGAGAAGATGGTTGAGAGATCTATTCTCTTACATAATTTCAAAAATCCAGAAAACATCACTTGTTTACGGAAAAAGTTGAAACGCTAACTATATTTTTGAGTTTATTAGATTAGTACGTGAATGTACGTGGTTGTTCGAGTAAGAGCGCTTTCTTAAAGCGTATCAACCTCACTCATTACCATAAATAGCCATTTGCTCATGAATTATGTTATAATAATATATAATTAGCATAGAGAAGTACTTCATCTCACACACTTCTTATCGCTCTCGCATTTTTCGTTTCAATTTCTTGTTTTCCAATTATTTCATTTATATATTTGACAGGTTTAGTGCTTACGAACATATGGCCTTGTATACTTGCCTTGTTGATCGATTTTGTGACAAATAATGATTGCAAGCAATCACGTTTATATGAAACTTTTCACGCAATTTACTTCCTCCTTGATTGCTTCGAGCATTTCCTCTCTCGTCTGCAACTTATTGCCTCTTCTCCACTCTCTTAACTTTTGTGATTGTTTACTTCGTTTGCCCATTAATTATTATCAATCATGCCTTCATAATGTTTAGCTAATGGTCGTTCCTTCCTTTTTCATCATTCGTTTCCTTTTTTAAGCTACTTTGGGAGTTCTCCTGATGAATGGCAACCCCCCTTCCACTCTAATTGTGGGTGATGTTACCGTTCCATCAAACCAACAAGGATGGGACCAAGCTCAAGCTGAGGTACGGAAGTATTCGGATGCTATCGTGTATATCTCATATTAAAGATCGGCTCACCCACATCTCTAGAATATCAACAGGAAGAAGATGAAGATGAATTCTCTTCAGATGACGATGACATTCAATATTGCGATTGCATAGTTGCTGCTTTGCAACAAAGTTTACCTGGAACACCTGGAAAACGAGGTTCTTAGCTTTTTGTGTGTGTTGCTTGTAAAGTTTGTCTGTTCAGGTGTCATACCATATACGTCTGTTTATGACACTCAACAGCAAGCACGCAAGCGAGGTTATTGGATTCCTGGGGTGCCGGTCAACGCGAAAATTGTGAATGCGGAAAAGAACACAGAGAGTGGCATTCATTTCATTAACACATTCCTGTAATGTTTGGAATGGAATGACTTTTGACCGATTGATTATTCCAGTTATACGATTGAGTTGGAGCATGGCAAGTTCAGATGGACAGTAGTTCGTAATTACAAAGATTTCACCTTGTTGAACAATCGGTTACTTGCTCATCGTGCTGCCGAACGCATTCGAGCACCCGTCCGAAGGTAACCAAATAGAACTTTCATTTTCAATCTCTAACTTCTCTCATCTATCATCATGAAAACATGTTGTTACCTTCGATTGATTAAAAAACTTTACAGATTCCGAAGGAACGGTAAAGTTCGAGAGTAAGTAGATAGAGTAAAAGAACTTGTGAAGTGTTAGTATTTTTGCTCGATCATATAGAAAGCTATGTCATGTAATTCCGTAAACTTGTCTGTTCAAACACATTTAGCACTTCCATTTTTGCACGTTTTTGCTTCATTCTCGTATACGTTGTGTCATTTTTCCTTTTTAGAGCGCAAGAGAAGGTTGATGCCATCCTTGAGCATGTGCATTCAGACACGACTGTTACTCATAAGGAAGAATGTCCTTACAGTAAAACTACCAGCACGAAGAAAAAAACAAAAGTATGTCTGTCCGGCTTGTTTTGATTCTACATTTCCTCTTTTCCCTAGATGGAAATCCTCAAACCTACTGTGGAAGCCTTTGAAACTGCTGCCAAAAGGGGAAAGGAAGCTCCTTTAGCAACAGCGGAAAGTCCATTGGAAACTCCAAATGATGAGCGACGAGCAAGCATGATTGAAGCTGTTAATTGTGAGATTACTTTGAGAAGTACTTTCACAACCTCTCTTTCAAGCTGGAATTCTACAAGAAGAACCTGAAACTAAACCTTCCAACTCTGAAATGCAAGTCATCAAGGAAGAGAGTGTCATTACACACACTGAAGATCAAGTAAGATTCTGTTTCTCTTCGGTAACTTTTTCGTTCATCTGCGATTAGGAACAGTATTTTGCGAAGGATTCTGAGCAAGAACAACACCTTTTGGTATATTTGTTGAAATATATTTTCCTTTGCATAGTGTTAGACTGCTATAATCATTGCGCTTTGCGGCACGAATTTCCACGATTGCACGATCAATCCTTCCTTATTAGGAGGTTCATTCTGCTTTTTACAGAACGCTTCGGCCAAGAAGATGAAAGCTCGGAGAAGGAAGAAGCACACACTTCCTCCTTTCCCTCGTTTGCCGGACTATATGGTTACGAATGTGACTCTTCGCATGGTACTCATTTACTAATTGACTTGTGTCCTCAACGATGTCCATTTAAGGAACAATTAGAAAATTGGTTACAAATGATTCTGCATATTCCCATAAATAGAAATCACCATGAAACTGTGAGTTAGTCTGTCAATCCTGTAATGATCATATTGAGTTAAGGCTGAATTCTTGGAAATATCCAGATTCTCATTTGTCAATGATTTGGGAGAGAAACATACTGAGGGATTTGTGAAGAAGAGACCTGGAGGATCTCGTGTCTTCCTGGGTTGGAAACAGTGCTGCGTAAGATACTTTGTGCCATGGAGTAGAAGGTTAGCTTTGTATTATGACCTATCATCACACATTGTTTCTCAGGTGGCTCATGGTTCGTGATTCTTTTGTTGCTTACATGGATCCCAGCTCTGAGCAAATTCGGTTAGTGTTGTTGATGGATCGAGACTTTAAAGTTGCTGCTGGAGGAAGGGAAGCTGATGGCATTCCCACAGGCTTAATCATTACTAACACTCAACAGTTAGTTGCTGATTCACTTTTCTGTTTTTCATCTCCTTATTTTCACAGTGAACTACATTTGAAATGTGGTCGCTTACAAGATACTAATAGATATAAAAGAGTGATTGAACAATCAACTGCTGGTCCAGGGAATGTTTGGATTCAACCGCATCGGTATGCTTCATCCTTCCCAATCCGTACCAACAGCTATGCCAAATGGTTAGTTATACCATTTTGCAATGTTACTTTATTTTGTTTTTAGGTTTGTTGATGCTCGTTCCTTCATGGCTCATGCCGCCGACATGATGGAATTAGCAAGAGAAGAGATTTTCATTTGTGATTGGTGGCTGAGTCCGGAAATTTACATGAAGCGTCCTGATCTCACTGGAGCTTATTGGCGATTAGATCACATTCTCAAGAGAAAAGCTAATCAAGGTGTCAAGATTTTCATTTTGCTCTATAAGGAAATGGAAATGGCGCTTGGGCTGAACAGTATGTATACCAAACGTACACTTCAAGGATTACATCCAAACATCAAGGTGTGTTGAAGTTTATTTGTTTTGTTTACATGAGCAATCGCTATAACATTTGTATACGGAAAAGATTTCTCGTCACTTTTACGTGGAGTCACGTGAAGTTCACGTGAAACGTATCGTCATTTATTTATGAAAACGCAGAAGATGCGGTCGTGCATAGCAAGCTTTCTTTACTAATTTTGCAAAAATACGTTTCATTTCGATTTTCCTAGGTAATGCGCCATCCTGATCATTATCCATCAACCGGAACTTTCTTCTGGGCTCATCATGAGAAATTAATCGTAATCGATCAACTTATTTCATTTGTCGGAGGTAATGTTTCTGTTTTGTTCCACACAAACAATATTGTGATAGGTGTTGATTTATGTTTTGGAAGATGGGATGATGATCAGCACTTGTTAACGGACATGGGCTCTGTGCAATTCGATCAAAATCACGAAATCAACAAAGAATTCTCTTTCGTATGTATCATCAATAGTATTTTTTATTTCAAACTTTACTCAGGCTAAAGGATTACAAGCACTCGCGATAGCTCCACTGAAGTTGAGTCCATTGGGATTAGAAGAAGACGAAGAGGTTATTCCTTCTGATGAAACTCATCCCAGGTTCCCTGCGCACACTATTCCTCGAGGTATTTTAGTTTTTGTCTAGACATATTGATTTATTTATGAAAATTATTGTAGTTTGCCCAACTGATGCTAGTGGATCATGTCATCCCAAGGTATTCCAACACTTTCTTGAATTTGAAACATCTGTGTATTGTAGGTTACAAACATCATTATCACTAATGATGAGGATGTTGTGGACAGCGTCAACCTCGGCAACGACGCAGATGAAGTTTGTTTTGCAAAACATTTTGTTGATTCCCATGATAATTCAAGATCGTCTACACTGATAAGGAAACGGGAGGAGTCATGGTCAAAATTCTGAAGAAAAGTACATTTGCCATTTGTAAAATCATACTGGAAGTATTACTTTAAGTCAGCAAACCGAACAAGGCCGCTGTGGTGAAATACAAAACGAGTACCAGTGTGCTGAGTGCAGGAGATAGGTCTTCCCAAGTTTCTGTTAATTCGGACAAGAAAGACGATGGCAAAGAAAAGAAGGTATGACTTATGAATGAGAAATCAATCTAAAGCTTTGCTTTGTTTCAGCCCGCTCGTGTGAAGCACACTTCTTCTTCCGATAAGAAGATACCAATTGAAGTGTTGGACCAGGCTGGTCCGGCAACCTCGTTTTTGGATAAAGCTGCAAAAAGCGGAATGGATCTGGCTACAGCAGCTGAAAGATACAAAGCGTATGTAAACAGTGGAGCCATCCAAAAAGTGAGAGATAAAATATGCTTGCTGATATGGTATTCCATGATATTGCAGGAGAAGCATCGTTCCCAAACACCACCAATGAAACGGAAAGAGAGTCGAATCACGCGTGCCGTAGACAATTGGAAAAGTCAGAGAGCGAAGAGAAAGTGGAAAGATGTTTTGGACGCAGATGATCCGAATGGATATGAAATAGATTTCCTACGACTCATGAAAAAGGTTTGGCATATATTTGTGAAAAAGATATCAAAACGTTCGTATAGGAAGACCAATCTGATGATTGTGTAGATGGAGCAGCTAAACTTTGGGTTGGAAAAGATTATGTCAATTTCGTTCACAAAGATTTCATAGAAGTTGATATGCCTTTCCACGGTATTAATTTACTTTCGTTTGAAGAGTATATGAGGATTACAGATTTCATTGATCGCGGAACTACTCCACGTATGCCATGGCACGATATTCATTCAGTAACCTTTGGCGTTCCCGCTAGGGATGTAGCAAGGCATTTCATCCAACGGTGGAATGCTACTAAAACTGAAAAACTTAAAAACGATGCCAACTACCCTTATTTGCTTCCCAAAACATACGAGTCTTTGAAACTACCTCGTGTCTTCCGAAATCCCAAGTTCGCTGAGAATGTTAACGTTCAGGTAAGACTGTTGTGAATATTCCGAAAACCTTCTGATCTTAAGGTGTTACGCTCTTTATCCAAATGGTCTGGACTGATCAACCAAACGGAAGAGTCAATCCAAATGGCTTATCTCTCACTGATAGCCAACGCAAAGGTATCCTGTAGAATTAAGATGCTGCTTCAAGTTCCAATTTACAGCATTACATCTACATTGAAAATCAGTTCTTCGTGTCGATGATAGATTCGCCTGAAGTCAGCAATGAGATTTGTAAGGTTATCTATGAACGAATCGTCCGAGCGCACAAGTGAGATTGCATGATCAGTTTGCTGACTTCTGAATCTGCTTTTTTTCAGGGAGAAGCAGAACTTCCGTGTGTACATAATGATACCTCTTCTTCCTGGTTTTGAAGGAGATGTGGGAGCTCCCAAAGGCTCTTCTCTACAGGCTGTTCTACATTGGACTTATCAGTCTCTCAGCCGGGGTCCCAACTCGTTGATCGAAAGGTTGAAGTTGGTGGTGCCGGATCCTCATAAATACTTAAGTATTGGCTCTCTCAGGACTTATGATCTACTTAATGGCAAACTTGTAAGTTGCTATTTGAAGTTACAGAAAGTGAAGAATTCTTTTTTAGGTAACAGAACTTATCTATATCCATTGCAAGTTGTTAATTGTTGACGATGAACATGTTATTATTGGCTCTGCTAACATCAATGACCGTTCTCAGGTATCCATTTTCTCGTTTTTCTTAATGTTATCTCAAATTGCAGGTTGGAAATCGTGATTCTGAAGTTTGTTGTTTGTACTCGGATATCAATTTCGAACAGAGTATGATGGACGGCAAGCCGTACAAAGCGGGTCGTTTTGCTAGAAGTCTTAGATTGCAATGCATGAAGGTTCTTGTCAACATAAATCCCGTCGTATCTAAGTTTTCTTAAGGAACATTTGGGGCTCTTATCGAACAGTCGAAGAAAAGCCAAATTCCCATACGAGGTGACTTGCGATGATCCCGTAGCCGATTCGTTCTTTGTGGACGTTTGGCAAGATACTGCTCGTTCTAACACCACTATCTACGAAGAGGTTTCTTGTTTATTTCTCCCATGTTTCTCATTTTGTTTTTTTGAAGGTATTCCGAGCTTTCCCTACTGATTATGTGGAAACATTGGAAGAATACGAAAAATGGACGAGGCAAATGCCTCTGGCGAAATATTCCCCTCAACAAGCGGAAGAGCGAATGCGAGATGTCAGAGGTATGTGGACAGTTTATGTGAACGGTCATGAAGATTATTGTTTTCAGGTACTTTAGTAGAGTTCCCGTTGAAGTTCTTTGTTAGACACGTATTAACCCCAGGAATAACTTCCAAAGAAGGTCTTGTGCCATCAGCTGTGTTCACATAACGGAGCACTCCTGTTCAAAAACTGCCAGGAACTTTGACGTTTCCAACTTTCCACAATCGTTTGACAAGTATATTTCCTCTTTAGGAAGAATACTCATGTGTGCTTAGCCTCCGGTGCTTTCTGTTCGTGTATAACTAAGAAAGAAAAAAAATATAAAAATGTAAATATATTTATCATTTCTTACCTGCTTCTCTTGTGATAGTATATATAGATAATTTATAGAAATACGTATTTAAATTTGTATTTTCTTTTGCTTTTTTAAACCAAAAATATGTTAATAACAATATTCAATTCAAACGTCTTCATTCAGTGCTCATCTGACTTGTTCTCATCAACATATATATTTGATCTAATCATGCTATCTTCCCCCTACACTTAGATGTCATGTTTAGAACGCAAATATGGCTGAGCAAGGAGGAAATACTGGTAACACACACACTTCTCCTCCAGCTCCCTTACCTGAATTCAAACATAGCTCTCTGCCCTTCCCTCCTCCAAAACCTCCAGTTATTCATCCTATTCTGGACAACAAAAAGAAGCCTAATCCCTTTGCTCCTAAAGTTCCAAAGGTACGCGTCAGTTTGTAATCGCATCCTTACTCTTTCTCTCTGTACTCAGAATCGGGTTGAAAAGCCTAAACATGCTGAACATGAAGTAAACAAAGGAGATACTGTTGAAGTTCTCAACACTTCCGCACAGGTCTCTGACACCACCGTTGAAAAACCACAAGCGCCACCTCAAAAAGTTGTTGAAAAGTTGCCAGAAGCTCCAGTCGAAAGAAAGCACTCCGAAGTAAAAGCTGAAGAGGTTGAGAAGAAAATCATAGAGCCTGAGCCATACTCTGAAATTCAGCCTGAGCAACACGTTGTTCAATCTGTTCATGAAGTAAGTGCATATGACTTATCATATTTCTACAGTGCTTAGAAATTGAAGGAAGTCCAACACGATGCCACGAATATAATTGCTGAGCCAGATACAGAAACAAAAGTGGAAGAGGTGAAAAAAGATGAAATGAAACAGCAAAAAACGGAGCAAAAAGAAGTTGAAGCTAAGCAGAATGTAACAGCTGAACAGGCGAAAGTTCCTCTTGGAGATGATAGAGTAAGTATTTTCACCAAGCGAACATCAACAGCCTTCTTTGTAGATTGATATGAGCGCAGGATTGATGGGTTGGATTTCAAAAACTATGACAGAAAGCAAAATATTATCGGATGTTGCTAGCAAAGCTCGGGTTTGTAAATAGTTTTCTGCTTAGCAAGGTCAAGAGCTCGTTTTCAGTACGGAATGGAACAAGTTATCATCACTCTCGATCCTGGAATGAAAGGATTTCTGGCAAGAGATGGTGTTGTGAGTTGTTGCGATACTTCGCCGTATCAGAAGTTTGGCATTAAAGGTTGATTTATACACGGCGGTAGAAGATCACACTCAAATTCGAGCCGTTCAAGAAGGTTTTGAAAAGGTTTTCGCAAACGTACTGGTGCGCAATGTTCCTGCTGCTAAAGGTAGTTTCCATATTATCACCAATATTCCAATTCTCTTTGGAGGTAATTTGCCTGAGACTGTCTACGGTTCACCATACTCGTTACAAATCTGTCGCCAGAGAGCAGATCGAATCATCCAATCGAGACTTGTTCCAGCGGATGCTGTTGTTCTCGTTTTCCAACCGTTCATATTCCACTTGGATGACAAGTATCTTCAATGTTCTGAAAGTTATATATCGTTCCATAATAGGCTGTATGCATCAACTCGTCTCTTCTTGAAATGGAACAATAACGAATTCGATTCTCTCAGTCAACTTCTCGATGTTGATAATTCAATCCTTGAAGTCTTAAAGGTTGATAGTTTTTATTTATTTCGAAGACCTTCTATTTCTAGGCACGAAGTGTTATGGAAGGAATGTCGACGAATGATTTTCCCATAAGCCTGTTCACGGCTGCCCAAGAGGTTGTGAAATGCTAGTGAATCTCAATCATTGAACTTACAGGTTTACGCAATAAAAGAAGAGAGTTGGACAGGACCCCCACCTCCTTTCAATTCAGCTGAGCTTCTCATGCCAGCTGCCTCACTGGTGGCGCTCAATTTCATGAATTCATCCTTGAAATCTAATAAGTAGTCGCTCAAGTTCAGCGCGGGAGGGAAGCATTAATTGAAACTGTGATCTAACTCATATAACTGGTCTTATGTATTTTTTATACCATGAATTAACTATTTTAGAACCTAATAAACGGTTAGATGAATAACAGACTGTATTATTCAGCTACACACCATTTCACGTGGGTCGAGCTCGAAAAATGAGAGACGTGAAGTTACAGAGCGAAAACGAACAGAATGGATGCGTTTTATTGCAGGAATCGTTGATATGCTGCATACAAACTGCATATTGAGAGCACAAGAACTTAAAAACAAAATGACCCGGTCGTTCTCTTTCAGGAAAATGCTGTAACTTCTCTTGAACTTGTTGAAACCAGATGCTCCTTGGTATGTTCGAATTGAAATTTCGTTTTGAATTTGATTATTAAAACTTAATGCATTGCTACAAGACCCTGAAGCCGTTCAAATTTACTCTGAAGTCACTTGGACGCATATCTGAGATGAGGTCTTGTTTTAGACGTGCTCTATTGCGACTGCTGACTTGCTGTCGTTGTGAAAGAGAAAATGGGAATAGTGGTTATGAGTTTTTATCATTTTTTATATTACGAAAATTTTTAAGAAGCAGCGTTCCATTGAGGCCAGCATCTGTTAGTTCTGTTGAATCCATTGGCAGTCATACAGCATCTGAAGCACACGGTTGGTTCTGGTCTATATGATTCTGAACTCACTTGTATCTGTTATTAGCACACCAGTTGACGCTGTTATAGTTACAGTTGCTTACGCATTGAGCGTAGCATGGCTTGGTCTGCCAGCTTAATCAGAATGATTAGCTGAAAGACGTAGAAGCAAGAACTTACACATCGTGACGGGGAGGAATGCAGTTAGGAGCTCCAAGTTCACCAGTGCAGTATTTCTCGCAGGTGATTTGAGCGAGAGCGACAACGCAAAGAGCAGAGAGGAGAAGGAAGAGCTTCATCTTTCGATGCTTCATCGTGATCACTCTCTGTATTTATAGCATCCGGAGCCTTTCATGAGCCGTAACCTTTGGTCAGAGAAACTTTTGAAAGTTTTTGAATCCAAATGAAATCATTGTGATCTTTTATGACGATCACAGACACGGAGTGGCTGGCAATTGTCATTGGGATGTTTCCTGTTGTGATCTTTTGATATCAATTCAATAGTGCAAAGCGCTTCCGTAATACTGTAATAGGACAACAGATGATAGCTACACCAATTAAATTCTTCTCCAGGTGGCAATGGCTTGCCTTCAACGTTTTTTAATATTAAACATAGATTCTAAACTTGATTTGACAACCAGCTTACCAGGCCATTCTTTTGATACATTCATCGTAAGGGTTAGCTGCTAGAAATTCCCATTTGTTCGAGGCATGTCGAACTACACTTTGACCAATATCTGTTTCTTTGCTATTCCCGTTTGTGAGATTACTCGTTGTCTTTTTGATTTTCATGTCCTGCTGTATTGCCTAGCTCAGCTATCTTACTCGTTTG